TTTGTTTTTATACTCTTAAGCCTCTATATGGACCAGGCTGACGGATTTTAATTTTTTCAGAGTTTGTAGATTTCTCTTCCCGTTTTTGAAACTTTAAAAAATTGGCGGCATCTCTTTTCGATTGGTTTTTTTGTCTGTATTTCAATTATTTTATGTTTGCATTTCTTTTAACTTTCGAGTAACATTATAAGTTTAATGTTTTTTATAAAAATCTATAAAATACATCGTGTTCGTATAAAATGGTTAATGCGAGTTTTTAAAGTTCGTTGGTTCCATTAAAGTTTGAAACAAGTATCTGAATATTATCATACAAGTTGGTCTTCAGTTAGGGGTTAGTTGTGCGCTTTATTATAGTTTAATAAAACTTAGATGAATGTTACTCCGTCTTAATAAAGCGGTAAAATGGAGTCATCATTTCATCTCAAAATTGATTTTCAAAAATTTACACTACGGTGGGTAGATTTGTAGCGTCAAAGAATTTTTAGGGCGGAAAAATTAAAAAAATATTTTGCAGAAATAAGCGACTTTTACAAAAATCAAACGGGCTAGTTTCATACCTTATTTCAGTGAATCAGTGATTCAGTTAAATAAGTTTGAAACTAAACAATTTAAAAGATCTTCGTACGAAATAACTGAATTTAAAGTTGATTTGAAGTGGGATCATTCATAATTTTGTCTAAAAAATAGTGTTGGAACCTTTTTATGTGCCCCAGAAATTCCCAATCTATCAAATCGACCCACCCTAGGTGTTTGGAAATGGAATGTAAAGTAATTAGAAGGCGTCGTTTAGCTCCACAACAGACAGCCGCAGCTCGGCAATGGGCGGTAGCTAGTGCGATCTGGCCACCAGGTCCAGGCCGCCCTCCTCCTCCATTTTGCTGAGGAACTTGATGACCCGCTGGTGGGGCTCCGACTGCCGGATCATGTCGATGAGGGCCAACAGCTTCTTGATGCCGATGCATACTCGCTTGCCGGCCATTTTCCTTGCAATGTTCTGCAGTTCCTCGGGACTGAAAAAATCCGAGTCATCCAGCACGGCGAGCACATGCTCGGGCGTTGACAGATTGGACACATGCAGTACGGACGTAAATGCCGGCAGCATTTCCATCTCCTCGAGGACATCTCGCCGGCTGGTGGTGCACAGGATCAGCAGCTTGCGACCCTTCGGCGGCTGCTTTTTCAGCAGCACCAGTAGCGCCTGCAGCGTGAGATTCGAGTATCTGGGTCCGATCGGACCGTAGTCCAGCAACCTCTCCACATTGTCCACCACAATGCAGCTCAGCGTGGAGCGGTAGGCGTCGTCGAAGATCTTGCGGATGTGCAGGCACTTGGCGGACTCGGTGAAACCCACCATATCCTCCGGAGAACAAACCTTGACAAACGGGAAGTCGCTCATCTTGGCCAGATTGGCGGCCAGTGCTGATTTGCCGGAGTTGGGAGCCCCCTCGATGAGAACAGACACCAGGCCGGAGCTCTCGGTGGCCTTCGCCTGCTGCACGGACAGCATGCCATCCTCCAGGATCCCACTTACCGGTGGACCCCAGTTGATGATTCCACGCGCCAGAAGGTTCTCCAGCATTTCCTGGGCGGCTCCAAAGGCGGGCTTTATGTCGTTGTCCAAGGCGTGGAGGAAATCGGCGCGGGTTACTCGCAATTTCTCCATAGCCTCAGGATCTACGTGAACCTAGGTAATAAAAAGTAAATCAGTATATAGTTGAGGTACGTAGTTTTAAGAATATAAAAGTATATAACTTAATTTTTAGTTCGCCTGTGCATTATTACTTTGCAGCTGAACACAATTTAATGATCGACAGACAGGCTATTGATTCGGAAACGCTTTCTTATACCTGTTGCATACTTTTCCACGAATACAATACCAAATGTTTGATGAGTAAACACTTTTTTACCGAGTTCTTAGCTTACCGCACCCGACACTATTTAAACACAAAAACGAAATCGTAACCGTAATAAATAAATAAATCAATCTGATAAATAAACCAAAAAGTATTTTTTGGCTTGTAGTAAGAAGAAAATACAATCGAATGCGTTGCCGAGCGTCTTATAACCATAGTCGTTTTGAAACAAACCATTTTTTAAACTAAAGACAGCCCTACCTTGGAATCTGCCTTGATTAGTCGGTTCATAGCGGTGGATTGAGCTGCTCTAACCAGTCCCTCCAACTCCGCTCCACTGAAGTTCTTTGTCCGGGACGCTATCTCATTGTTGTCCACATCGCTGGCTATCTTGTTGAAGTCCCGCATCCGTTTGGTGTGGATGTTGAGAATCTGGACGCGTCCCTGTTCGTTGGGCAAGCTGATCTCCATTTGCACCTCCAGGCGGCCAGGGCGCAGCAGGGCCTCGTCGATCATGTCCCGCCTGTTGGTCATTCCTATCACCAGGATGTTGTTCAACTGCTCCACGCCGTCGATCTTGGCCAGCAGTTGATTGACGACCGTGTCGTGGACACCACTGTTGCCGGCCACCGAACCACGAGCCTTGCAAATGGCATCGATCTCGTCGAAGATGATGATGTGCAGACCACTGTTTGGTCCCAAGCGCTTCTCCTCCTCCTCGGCTTCGGCGAACAATCGCCGGATATTGGCCTCCGATTCGCCCACATATTTGTCCAGGATCTGTGGGCCATTCACAATCTTGGGCTCGCGGGCATTCAGCATGGTTCCTATTTGCCGGGCCATCAGGGTTTTGCCCGTACCCGGTGGTCCGTACAAAAGGATACCCTTTACGTGCTTGATGCCCAGCTGCTCGACCAATTCCGGCGGAAAAACGCGCGAAGCGAATGCGCGTCGGAAAATCGCGTTGAACTCCTTGTCCAGGCCACCGATGCCCATCTTACCAAAGTCCCAGTCCGGATTAATGATCGACTGGCGCACAATCTTGCCCTTCGAGCGGCCCTGCAGATTCAGCACGGAGTTCTCGGCCTTTTCGAACTGCACCACCGTGTTGCCAAGGATGCGACCGAAACGCACGTTCCGCGTCTTCGGGAGAGCATCTCCCACCGTTCGGGGATCCACTGCCTCCAGAGTTTTCACTGCGAGGCCCAGGAACTTCTTGTCTTTAAACTGGAAGGTATATAAATAACATTTAGTTGCAGGGAAAGACAAGGATTTCGCTTAACTCTATTGTATGGGAAAAAGTCCATTATAATCTTAATCGGTCAATAAAATGGATATATGTATATTTGCCAGAAATTGCAAGCGAGAAGTGCGCTGTAGTGATTGTACACTTTGTATTTTATGAGTCACTCATTCGGTCAATATTTCGTCATCCTACTTGATTTTCTCTTTCAACAATATCATTCTTTATGAACTTTACTATTTTGCCTTTTAGATAATTTATTTTTTATTCATTTACTTTTTTTTACAGTCTAAGCACTATTTTCTATTACTGCCTTAGTTTAGTTAGTTAATGAGTTGGTTACTAAAACATACAACAAAAGTAGGCTTTCTCTCGTTTGAATTGTTCCCTATATTTAACCGCTATTTAAAGACTATTGAAAGAACTTTACCATATGTATTAAGATTTTCTTTGTTTTGGATTTCTGAAAGACTTTCTTGATTTCACTCATACATATGTGTAATAGCGCAAACCCTACTTTTAAGATTTCCTTTATATTTTTGATATAAAAACCCAAAGATTTTCCCCATATTTTGGAGGGGTTTGGGAACTATTCCCAATTTTTTTTAGGGTAGGTGGGGTCCTACCTGAAAGACCAACGTTTGCCCGACGGTCAAGGGCATTCCGGAGAACTGCATGAGGAACTCCTTGGCCATCTCGTCCGAGTCGTAGGGCTCCTGCGTGGTGGTCTTCTTCTGGAGAAAGTCCGTCTCGAAGGACACGAGTGTTATGATGTCGGCGCTGGCGTCGAATCGGTAGGGTCGCACGTCTATTTCCTGGTTGATCGAGAGCGTGGCCCACTTACGCTGGACGAGGGAGAATCCCACGTAGCCGAGCGGTAGCTCCGGCCCGCTGATCTTCTCCAGCGCAAAGATGTAGTGCAGCCCCGGTCCCGGCGAGATGTCCACATATCTGGGGGCGTTGATGGTTGAGTTGATTTGGGAAGCATCAATAACAGTCCGGAAATTCGCCCCAAAGACTAGACGCCCACGTAGCCAGTGGAAAAAGACAACACTCACTTGACCTCCTCCGTGAAATCGGCCCCGTTCACAATCGCCTTGTTCGTCAGCGACAGCTCGTCCGTGGGGCACTTGATCGCCTTCATCCGATGGGCCATTTCACTCGCCATTCTGCTTGCTTTTGCTTTTGCAGTCCCTTCCAGCTCAATTTAAAAATATTTTCCAGAATTGACTCAACAATCAGCTGATTTCGAGCAGCCCTGGTCAGCGCTGTGTATGTGTACACACTGGAAAGACGATCGAAAGCTGCCTGCTATGGCACTGCGAAACGGTTATTTGAATTGAAAAGCGGGATTAAAAATCACCTTAATCGTTAGTAAAAAAATTCAGTAGTTAAAAGTAGTTAATAATATAAGATGACATGCAAATTTTATTCTTGAAATCAACTAATTTGTATTTAACTTAATAATTTACAAAACACAATACAAAAAACATTTTTTATATTGCTCAAGTTTCTCAAATATTAAAGTATAATTTAATAAAACATTTTATTTCTTATCCATTTAAGTTAATTTGTAAAGTTTCGCATATAAACAGGCGCCGCTTTGAATTTGTTTTAATGACTTAACAAAATAAAATGTTTCTTTAAATTCCAGTTTTGTTAACATTTTTAACAACAACCTTCATTATTTTTTTTAACATACCGTAGTGCGTTTGTAAATATATATAATAGTGAAAATTCAACTATGGACACTTTACTAATTTTCTGAGTATATTCAGATAAGTACCGCAAATTATTAAACACACCTTTTAAATAACAGCAGCTCAAATGAATTTAAATTCACCTACATTATAGGAGCACTTTCGTTTTCGTATGGGCTACGGGCTTATAAAAGCAATTATAGGTAAATATTGGGCATTCGTTTATTTCTTTTGTATAAAAATAATACTTTGTTAGTAAAAACATCTTAAAATATGGGTTATGCCAATCACATAGTTAGGCTGCTCTTTTTGGTCCTAAGACCGGTACAATAAATGCATTTGGATTATAATATAGACCTTCAAAGTCCTTTTGTGAAACTGGTTCTTTAATGCCAGGACGGAATTGCCTTCGAAGATTGTTTACAAAACTAAAAAAAAAGAATTGGATTTTTTTTTAATTAATGGGGTACTCAGAACTCTGCCTGCATTCTTAAAATTATTGAGGTACTCAAAGCGGTGGGTGATGGGGAATCAAAGTCGGTGTTCTTCCCACCCCATTGCTTCGCCCGTTTTCTCGAGGAATTTGGCAGCACGACGATCCGGCTTGAGGGGACTGACCCAGGTCATCAGATCAAGCAGCCGCTTGATGCCCATGGAGATGTGCCTGCCCTTCATGGCGTCTTTAATCTGTCCCATCTCCTCGGGTTCGAATCGCTTAGAAGCTTCCATTACGGCCATGACTTCAGCCGGCGTGGAGAGATTGGGCACATGGTGTACGGCAGTGAAGACTGGCATCATGCCCAGCTGCTGCAGGACATCGCGGCGATTAGAAGTGCACAGGATGACCAGCCCGTGGCCCCTGGGCGGTTGTTTCCTAAGGAGAACCATCAGCATTTGAAGTATTGCGTTGGAGTACCGCATTCCCAGGGCTCCGTAGTCCAGGATTCGCTCTAGATCATCAAAGATAACGCAGCTGCGCCGGGAAACATATGCATCTTCTAGGACATTCCGTATATACTGAATTTTGGCGGACTCGCCGAGGTCCATTAAATCTGCGGCCGAAATGTGTCTTGCAAAGGGGAAGCCACTTTCCAGTGCCATTTTAGCAGCAACGGTTGACAGACCAGACTTGGGATCACCCTCGATCAACTGGCAGGACAATCCTTCAACTGGAAAATCGATCAACTCATCCCGTTTCTTGCTCTCACGATAGTAGAGAAATCCATTTGGCATTATCTGCTCAAGGGTCTCCCTTTGCACCCCGAATCTGGGCACCAGCCCCTTCAGGGCATTCAGAAAATCTTCAAGCATGACTTGCAAACCTTCCCCATCCAGATCTCCGTTGGTGGAGGAGACCCGGGCACAGGCCTCACTGGCTGCACGGTGCACCAGTTGACAAAGCTCATCCTCCGTAAAATTTTTGGTCCGGGCCGCAATTTCCAGCGGACACACGTTGTCGGCGATCTTGTAGTAGTTGCTCAGGTTCTTAATGCGGGAACCCAGCAATTCCCACCGCTCCTCCTGATTGGGTAGTGTTATTTTTACCATCCTGGCAAACAGGGTTTTCTCAATTCACTTTATAAATTTGCTTTTCTAGCAGCAGTTTCAAATTTTTCACCTAATGAAATTCTTCTTCTTCTTTTTTTTGTGGGTTAACATCAGCTGTTTCAACAGGCAGTGGTTATCATGTTAACCTAACAGTGCATATTCGATCTTACTGAGGTTATCGATCACGTATTTTGTTAAGGCGGGAAAAATCGATTTTAACAAGTACCGGTTTTTTGTTTATATTATTTTCTACACTTTAATGTTTTTAGCGCTATGAGATTTACTTTTTAAAATGCCTTTATATAAACATGGATGAAATTATCTGTTGTATTTCTCATAATGACACTTCAAAAACTTCAAAACATTTAACTGACGTTTCTTGAAACATTATGGATTTAATATATGTGTACAAATTACAGCAATAAAAAGAACATTTTGCAAAGAATAAAAATGAAGGTTAATAACAACTGGGACAATGATATTTTAATAATTGAATATCATTATTATTAGTATTAGCTAATTTAACCTATAAAAATAAACAAATTTAAATATAAACGTTTTACCGCCTATAAGTGTTACCAGTTCTTTAAGCCTGAATTAACCGTCAAAAACAAAAGCCAAACAAGAATTTGTAAAAATACTAAAATCCCATTAAGTCAAAAAGAAAACTGCGCGCTAAATTTAAATACCAACAGGACATTTCTGAAAATTTCGTGTAAGGATAAGATAAGATAAAAATAAAAGGAATACCTCTGTTTTTTAAAAGCAAAATGTAAATGAACAATGGTACTATGTAATTTTGTACAATTTCCAATCGTACATTTAGAAAACCTTGTTTCGCAGAATTCATAATCTTGAAATAATTGAAAAATAAAATAAATATTGATTATACTCGCCGCTGAAAATACTAAGAAAATACTGCGAAGTAATCGATAGACATATAGTTTTTGATCGACGATGAGTAATGACCGTTACAATTTAAACTTTTGCTTGATTTATGGTTTTCATGGGCTTAGTTCTTTCCGCTGCAGCCTATGCACATATTGCAGAATCCCACTGGTTCTCCCTGCTTTTTAGTTCTTCTGGTTGATGACTGTGCAATTATATTCGATATAGCATTTTTCTTCGTTTCTTTGCCGTTGACCTCGCGCACTTAATCATTGGCATCGATAATTGGATAGTGGATGTCTCTATTCATTCTGGGTTCCCTTGCCCACAATTTATAGCGTGCATTATATTCGGACAGTTTAATTGGGTATCGACATTTATTAATTTGCCCGGCCTGCTTTAGTTTAATGCCCGTAATTTGTTGACCCATCCGAATTTGACCACTCAAGGCTTTCAACACTCTCCGTCCGTTCAGTTTCCCTTTTTTCAGGCCATTTGCATGCCCACAAGGGAAGAGACTCCAGCGTCCAGCTATGCACATTAATTAGGCCGGTTCATTAGACACATGTCCATCAAAAGTGGACCGAGACCTAAGATCCAGACTTGAGGACTGCGCCGCCGGCGAGGGAATATATATCCCGAACCGAGCTTGGCTGCCTCTCGTGTTGCCTGTTTTATGTAATTAAGCCAGGCGCTCACTATTTAAATTGCTGCCGGATGACGGGGGGAACTTAGGGAGCGACACTGAAACGGAGACACTGGTCGGGATGCAAGCGGACGATGCACTTCAACAATGATTTTAAGCATCGAATAAACTAAATAACGTTCGTACAAAAAGGTTATACAAGACATTCTCAAGTCATTAATGGTAGAAAAACTTCGAGAAACAGATTTTCTTTAAAATTTAAATATGATTTTTAATTAACTCTAGTATAGTATATAAATATTTTATAAACATTTATTAAAATATAGCCGATAATGTTTCTGCTTTTTAAAAAAATATACTATTGACAAATATTTAATTAATAGTTTTAAATGTTTATTATTCCTTTGAACATTTTTCAAGAACAAGGAAATATTTCTGTATATAATAAGGTAAAATATATTTCAATTTAAGTAAATCATTTTTCTGAGTGCACCCCATATGCGCCTGGGTGTATCACGAATTGGCAATTGAGCCAACTGAATCGGTTTGAAGCCTTGGCTGGCCAAGTGCAATTTGCAGGCCGGGCTGCAGCCTCCTCATCGAGATCCGCATCCTCGCGAGGAGCTCGAGATCGGGACCGAGCTGAGAGCCTCCACTCGAGACGTTCGCTCGTCAGCGCTTGAGCCAATAATTATGGTTATTAATCGGCCTGGGAATTGGCTGCTAATTTGCAGTTTAGTTACAAATTCTGGCCGCCAGCGTGCAATTACCCGCTTAAATTATAGCCTCAAAATAAACAAAACACCGCAACGCCAACGAGAATCGCTGGACGCGATGGTCAGTTCACTTTATTTCAGAACAGTTCAGCAGTCGGGAAAAGGTCACACCACCAACCACACAGCGAAAAACATAAAATTGTTATTAATTTGTTGTTGATTAGAATTGCATATTCAAAATTCTATGATTTTTTTGTATTATTTCTTAGCTATCTATAAAAGTAGGAACGGGTAAGCCATGAATATATTTTTTATAATAGCATATAGTAAACGTGATTATTAAATATAAATACATATGTTTACAATGATTATTAAAAATTTAGAAATTTGCGTTAGGTGTAAAGAAGAGATGCACATTGAATTATGTGTTTATATAAGATATTTATCGATGGGTGCATGTTTTAATTTTCTTAAAATAAATATAAAAGTAAAATTTAAAATAAATAAACTACGTAAAATGTAGTTTGTTTGAATGACCTCGCTTATTCTTTCAGTGAAAAGCGTACAGAACATTGAAATATTTGCTGAGCAGCATCCAGGCATATTTAGCTTTATGCGTGTTTGCTTATCACGAGTCTTATCGCCGATTAGGCCGGGTCAATACCGCACATCAGCTAATGATGCTGCCAGATCGGAGCTGCGAGTCCGCCAACTCCTGGAACTCGTAATTAGACGCCAGTTCTGGGGCGTTACTCAATCAAGAGTTGATGGCACAACCCCCTTTGCGTCCAGAGCTGTGGCTGCGGCTGCGGCATCATCATCATTATCAACAAGGGGGCAACTATCCTGCCGACTGATCGGGCCAACGCCAACTACAACATAATTTCCAGACGTCGACGCGTCGCTCTTCCAATTTCGGAGGCGCGCTGGCAACACTTTTGGGCCGCCAAATCAAATCGTGTGCTGTTTATTTAAATAACCATAATTTACCGCACCATCCAGGGCCGTTCTTGGCCCGCTTCGCCCCTTCACTCACGGCTTGTGGGGCTATTTATTAACCCACACACTCAACGGATCCGAAGAGTGCACCGATTTGAACCGAACCGATCCTTGACTTTTATGGCCTGGCACATGATTTTCCCGGCCTGTGAGAACATAAAAATTCAATTTAATATGCTCCCAAGATTATTGTGGATTCCTCTCGCTTTTCTCCACGGAAAACGTTTTGTCTTTGGCCGGCATTCAATGAATTTCTGTTTACTATTGTGGCCCATATGCAATCAATGCTGGTTATGGCAGCCCATCTAAATTTGTCGTGGGTGTTGGCTTGTGGGCTCGTTTTGCCCATAGTTATGAATATATCGATTCCAATCTGAACACACCATAAAATCCGATTCAAATCGCCCTCTTTTCTGTTGCATACTTTTTGGGTTAAAGAGGCATGGGTTCGAAAATGTTCTAATTGGAGAAAAATACTGAACATTAAATGTAAGGGTTACACTTTCATAGTAGCCCAAACAGAATTAATTTACAATGAAAACAAATAAAAAAGTCTATCATTTATTAAATATTTGTTAGGAATTTTATAAATAAAGACTAATATTATAATACAATTTTATATCAAAACAGTAAGTAAAAGTAATTTAAAGCTATCAACGATTAAAAATAATTTCTTTTAACATAATCAGCATATTACACATTTTAAAACCATTCTGGAAACGTGGCAGGACAAAACGCGCTGAATGCCATTATAAACAATTTATGATCCCACCGTTGGAAACGTCCGAAAGTGGCCAAGTAAATTGGCCAAGTCGCTGCGTCCGATAATCTGCGAAGATCTTTTGCCTAAGTGGATCTCTAGTTGGATGGTTGGTGGACTCAGCACGTCAAGTTTAGAAAAATGAGCTTGTTAACGCTCCATGATGAGCCCAGTTAGTGTCTAACCCGGAGCCAGATCGATTCGATCCGATCGTTCGCAGATGGAGATTGATGTGAATGTGGAGGCAGAGTAGATCTGCCTATCCCATTCGAACCGAGCCAAGCCGATCCGATCCGATCCGATCCGAGACTCATCATTAGGCCCTGTGTAAAATTACAACACGATAACACGTAATCATTAGCGTGGCTCCGGGACGGTGTGAGCAAACAATTTGAGGGGCCACAGAGCCAGTCCCGAAGCCCACAGCCCACAGCCGAAAGTCAGAACCCGAAAGCCCAACTTCAATTTGCAGTTTCATTATCAAACGGCCCAAAGAACATAATTTGACTAAGGCCAAACATTTGGCAACAGCAAACGGCGAGAGGCCAATTTGCAGTTCTCGACGGACTGCCAGTGGTAGTCCGTCTATCGATCACGTTTTGAACTGAAAGGCACGACCGCGTCGACGAAACCATCGACTCTGAACAGTGGTTAATAAAACTTAAGAGCGATCCCTTAGTTTTTAGGCTAATTCCTCTTATTTTAATTTTATACCATTTATATTTCGTGCTTAAACTCAAAAGAATTGCAAAGATATGTGACAAGTCTTGAAGTTTATTTTTTGGAGTTTATTTCTATTTTACTGTTTAAATATATAGTAAATTTAAACAAACATTTTAATTTAAAATTATAATCTTGGAATAAAACAAATAAATGATAACTGCTCTGAGATATTAAATCATGTGGTTGTTAAAACACATTTAAATAACATAACAACCTAGAATTGAAATAAATGAACTAGAGAAAATTACTTTGCCCAAGCATTTTAATCTTTTATAAAGAAAAATCTGAAAAAAATGTCAAAATAAGAATTTTTTCAGATATCGAAACCCTCAAATGTTTAAATGGTTAAATATTAAACCCT